CCGAGCACCCTTCGGTGCAAAGCATCGGCACCGTATCTCGCTAGCCAGGAAAGAAGCGTAGCCTTACAGCTATGCGTCCCGAGACGGGCCGCCTCGGGGAATCCTCGGGCAACCAAAATGCCCCTCAGCCAGCCCGCTGCTATGGTAGCAGTAGGCGGGACCGATGCCCATCCGCCTTCCAGGCCTCGACCAGGAAGAAGCGGAAACTCCTCACCAGCAGGAACTCCCAAGTCCTCCCGCAGACTCACCCACGTCTTAAACCACGGCACCCCGGCAACTCCGAAAAGCGGGCCCACCATCGGAAGAAGTGCAGTCTTCCTCTCAAGAGAAAAGCTGGTTTTCGTCCTCGACGTTTCACCCTCAAAATAGCCAGCAAGCGGGCCCGCAAAGAATTCGGGCTCATCAACACTCAAGTTCTTCAGACCTTGGGCATCACTATACCTTGCCCGCAAATAAATGCAAACCCAGAAGAAGCCAGCACATAAGCGGTCCACTTCGTTCTCGGACTCATCAACCACCAGCCTCTCGAGCCTCTTAACCATGGCGACCTTGAGGGGCGGCTTCTGTTTGCGCTTTCTCTTCTTCAAGAAGGAAGACCTGGCCAAGCCCAACAGCCGGCCACTGTTAAGGGCATCCAAGAAAGTGTCTGCTCCGAGCACATACCTGCCGAAAGCGACCGAAGACAAAACAGCCTTTCCGAAGGATGGTGCACTGTCATCCTCAATGTCCATAAGGAACTCGTAAAGATCACACTCACGCAGCGGAAGAGGCTTTAGCCTTCGAGCTTTGGCCCAAGCAATGAAACGCAGTAAGGGTCCGGCACGATTGTGAAGGGTCCCTGCTGCCTTGCCTGAAAAGGTATGCAAAAGGCCCTGTGCAATGGCAGCGTCCTGCCCAGCAGAAGCAGCACACCTGCGGCCTACATCAAAGGACAGGGAGTCCTCAAAGACGATAGCAACCCACTTCTGGATGGCAGCCCTAAGCCTCCTCTCCAAGTGAGCACTCCAAGAATCGTCGAGCCTAACCCTGCCAAGAACGAGCTGAACAACCGATTCAAGAGTAGGCTTCGAAGACATCTTGGGGACCGGCACAGCCATCACAGGAGGCATGGGTCCACGAGACCGCACAACCCCCGAAAACGGAGTGATTGAAGGCTTCAAGCGAAAATCCCAAGACCTAACGAAGCCAGTTCTGCTGACCTTCCTAATGCAAGCAGCCAAATGAGCCTCGTATGACTCAAATGCAACAGCAGCATCTCGCTTGCAAGCCTTTAAGTCACCTGTCACTTCAATCCCATCTTCAGAAAAAGCAGGGGCCTGAAAGGACGATGAGGCCATATGCAGCCCGCAGCCCTGCGGGGGCGCAGCAAGCACCGAGCAATCAGTCCATCTGCCAGCCACACGAGGCTGGCGTGCACAGGCTCCTAAGGAGCAGCCTTCCACAATAGGGAGCCCGGAACCTGTTAGAAGCGACTACAGGGCGTAGTGGGCTCAAAAATTTCTAAAGCTAAGAGCCGGTGCTTGAGCCAAAATGGCTACGGAACTTTCTCAAGCTAAGAGCCGGTGCTGCCGCGCAACAAAGTTCGACCATGCAGCACTCGGCTTCGCGACTAAGTCACCAAAGAGTTTTGTCCAAAATAAAACAAATTTGAAAATGCTCGCACAAGCTCGCGGTCCTAGCATGAAAAAGGGATCGTAGATGGCGCAAGCTGTCTACTATGGCCCAGTCGGCCACATGGGGCCACAGTGTGCCCTCACCGGGCAGTTATCAGGGGGGGAGGGATGGGCTTTCGAACACGGTGAGCCCTCTGCGACACGACAAGAGCTGATACGAGCTGCTCACAAGCTGCACACCGCACTGAGATGCATGCTGCGGGTGTGTGAAGTGTTCGAACCGACAGAGAAAGGCAGAGGCTCTTTCGCTGGAAATCGCGTCAGATGCATCAGCAGACCCTCGTCCCTGGGCATGGGCATCCAGAGGGCGGGCGGGCAAACTTACAGAGCCACTGCTTTCAGCAACTGAACGCTACTGAAAAGAAGCAACGTGATCATCAAGTCATGAGGCCCAACCAACCACTACTCCCGACACAAAAAGGCTCACAGAGCAGCCGCTCTCGTTGTCTCACTATATTGACCACTTGGTGCACCGGTAAGTGCCCGTCAGGGCGGGTTGGGCGGGCGCAGAAATACGCGACTCCTGCAGCAATTTCTGCAACGAAACAGCTGCAATTGTGAGTGTACGGTGCGTGCGCCAGCTGACGCTGTACGCAAGCATACCGACACGCTCCCTATTCCGCAGACCCTAAAGTATAGCAACACGAAGTGCATACAGCGACGTTTTCTCAGGAACGCAAAAGGTCGGGCTCCAGGCAGGCGGCGCACAGCGGTCTCAGCAATTAGCCGCCTCTCATGCTCTTATGTAGCTCATCAAAAGAAGCAAGCCGCAGGCCCTCCTTTTTGGCTTTGCGAAAATGCTGGGCAGCAGAGTCCTTCAATCCGGGCGGTCGGGCAGGGCTTCAGAAGTGGCCAAGCACCCACGATGGAACAACTTGGGAAATTGCACAGCAACTGAACAAAGCTTGCAGAGCTGCACTGAATTGCATGCACAAGCTATACGGTATAATGATATAATGTACAAGCTACATGCGCAGAGAGAGACGCTACATGCGCAGAGAGAGACGGGTGTACTGCCAAGCCCCACCCCAGCCGGTACACCCGACACAAGTCATGTTACTCACAAAGAGAGTTGGGGGCCCAATCAACCGCCACCCCCGACACAGAAAGGCACGCAGAGCAGTCGCTTCCCACAACGTCTCACCACTGTCGTCTCAGTATATTGACTGCATAATTAACAGCTGCAGCCTCCTGGGGCACATTACATCTGAAGCTTTTGCTTGCACGCACACATATGCTTCGACCATCAGGCTGGGCAGAGCTATACCTTGGAGGCAACAAGCTTCAGGGTGTCCGAGGACGCGGCGAGCACTGCCGCAAGCGCGGCCCTGCCAGGGCCAAACTTGTCGGCGACCTTCACTGGCAGCGACCCGCCCAGGTCTGCACGCCCAACAGATGAC